CAGGAGTTGCACATTGATGTGAGCTGTGATGCCAGGAAACTACCCAGGGACAGCTTGAGGCTCTGTCTCAAAAAAAAAAAAAAAAAAAGAAGCTAAATAATCCCAAGCAAGATAAATATAAAAGTCAAACAGCAAAAAGCTAACAACAAATAATAAAATCAGAAGCAATCAGAGAAAACAGAATTTGGCAGACTGACAGATGATGTCTCAATAACGGTAACTCAGGCCAAATGACAGAGGAATAAGATCTTTAGCATGCTGCAGAAAAACAACTGCCAGCCTATACTTCAATATTCAGCAAATCATCTTTCAAGAATAGCAATGAAATCAGGACGTTTCCAGGTGAACAAAAACTGAGCGTTCATTATCAACAAACCTTCACATAAAAGCCACTCCAAAGGAGGTACTACAAGCAGAAGATAAATACAGTCCCAGAAGGATAAAAGTAGTAACAAATAATGGAGAAAGCAGTAAAAATGTGGGAAATATTTAATACAAACAAGCACTGACTGTAAAACACAGCAATACTTCTAAACAAGCTTCCTTCTATCTGGCAGGAATTATAAAATCCAGTTATGTTAACAATAACACATAAATCCTAAGAGGGAATGACATTAAAGTTCTAAAGTTCTTATATTTTCCATAAGGAAGGTTTATTTTTTAGATTTTGAAAAATCAAGGAGGCATTATTTCTAGGAAAATTATAAAATAAAAAGTATATAACTCCCAAACTACTAAATGGGAAAAAAATTATAAAGAATATTCAATCAAAAGTAACAAAAAAGGAGAAAAAAATATATAGGACAAGAAAACAAAACAAAATTAAGAGAAAATCCATTAAATGTCCTACATAAAAATATTTTGAAGCTGTTCTTAAAAAAAATCCAAAATATAAATTTATCTCAAAATAGTTTAATGAAAGAAAAATAAAAAAATTAAGAATATATACTAATAAACTGATAAACTACAGGCAAGATAATCAAGAAATTAGGGGACTATGGGGACAAAAATAGTCATTAAAAACAAAAAGGAAAATCATGCAATAAAGACAATAAGAATGGACTTATGGAAATGCTGCCAATAAATATTAAAATTTCGACAGTCTAAATTCAAACCTGCCATAATGTTTCTTAAAAAATCTGATTAATCCTGTAACCACTAGAGAAAGTAGATCACTGGCCAAACATCTGCCACTAACAAAACTTCTGGCTCAAGTAAATTCAAGAGCAAATTCTACAATTGGTTATCCACATGAAAATAAAGTTAAATTATATCTATACCTTGAAAAGTACACAACAATTCCAAGTATATAAACATAAAATGAAAATCTTCAAAATATTCTGAAAATATAGAAGGATATCTTTACAAAGAAAACATTGATAAATTCAACTATTAAGAATTTCTGGGGTGAACGTGGTGGCTCATGCCTGCAATCCTAGCACTCTGGGAGGCCAAGGTGGGTGGATTGCCTGAGCTCACGAGTTCCAGATCAGCCTGAGCCAGAGCAAGACCTCATCTCTGAAAATAGCAGGGCACCGTGATGGGTGCATGTAGTCCTAGCTACTCTGGAGGCTGAGGCAAGAGAATCTCTTGAGCCCAAGAGTTTGAGGTTGCTGTGAGCTGTGATGCTAGAGCACTCTACTCAGGGCAACAAAGTGAGACTCTGTCTCAAAAAAAAAAAAAAAAAAAAAGTATTTCTGCTTATCAAAAACCATCATAGAGAAAAGGTATTTACAATCCAATTAATCATTAAGATTAGTATACAG